TTAAAGAAATTTTATATGTAAAAAAGAAGTTTTTTAAAGATAACTCAAGAACTACCAAGCCAATTTTAATGTTCTTTTATTATTAAATGCATCTTGATGAGCTTTACAATTTCTGTTAGAAGCCCAAGAGTGATTTATTTAGTAAAAAAAAAGTTTTAGATAGAAGCACTGCACTTTTGCACTTATAGTAAAATTTATATATAAAAAAAAAAATTTTTGTCCAGGTCTTAGATGAATTGCCTATTAAGAAAAAATGGTGATATAACCTGGTATGACTATATTATAATTTTTTTAATAATTGATTAGACGAGCTATAATAAATAATTAGTTAACTTGTATAATTTAATTTTTACCTAGCTGCAGCATATACTAGTGCACTATTGGAAACTATTGCTAATAGTTTGGCCCCTATATTTAATGTATCATTGATTATTTTCTCAATTTTAGGAATAATATCAATTACTCGCTCTCGCTCTGAACTAATATCAATTGCTTCCTAAACTTGAACTTCTCCATCTAATAAAATAAATAATAAACCAAAAATATTTAGTTTCAAAATATTTTTCTACCCATCAAATACTAAGGTAACTTCAATGCTATCTCTCTTTAATTTTTGTTCATGTGATTTTATGAAATTATTTCTTTCTGCATTGAAGATATGATTCGATAAAGCATGTCTAGAAGGAAGGGTAAATACTAAGTTTAAGAACTCAAAAAACTCTGAGTTACTTGATTTGTTGTTCATTTAAAAGCCCATCCATTTGAAACTGTTATCCAAAATATCAATCTTTCTAACTTAGGTTTGTCTTTCACAGTAATATCTCTTATAATGAAATCGGATATAGTATTTGAATTTGATGTTTTTTTTCTTGGTTTTTTAGTTGCTGAAGGTGTTGAAGGTGTTGAAGATATTGAGGAAACACTATGAATTTCATCATTCATATTATTTTTTTTTTTAAAAAAAAAGTAATATTATTAATATATTTTTAATATACAGAAAAACATTCTAAATGCATTCAGTTCAGACAAAACTTTCTATAATATATATTTAGAAAATCATATGATCGCATTTATAAAGATAGTGTATTTACAAAGGTTAAATATATTTAACTAAGAGTTTAAAAGTGCATTTATGAAGATACAATAAAACTTCTATAAGTGTATACACTTGGAATCAAACTTTAACAACATTATTTAGAAGAAAAAGTGAATTTATAATCTATATGAGTGCTGTTAAAAGAAAACCCAAAAATTTAAATATAACTTATATTTAAATTGTTAGGTTTTTTTTTAGTGACACTCATATAGTGGGCCCAAATTTGAGTGTGAATTTAGAGAGGGTATGCACTTATGAAGATTTTACTGTATCATATTTAAGGAGAACACATATTTAGAAAGAGTGCATTTAGAAAGGCTTTTCAGTATTCACTAATTACCTGATGTGTCAGCATTTTGGTGTTTTCTTAAAGTTTGTGAAGCCTGCTTTTCTTTATCATCTGTCTTATTACAATAAGCACTTACTGCTTCTTCTGATCCTTTTTTTGCATGAAAATGTTTACAATTTTTAAGGTGATTTCTAACAATATTTTTTTTATTGGTAATTAGATTCTTTAAAGTTTCTTCACAGCCAAGTATTTCATCACAAGCCTTATATACACAAGAAGTATTATATTTATTTGTAGGTTTTACACCAAGTACAATAATATCATTTGTGAATCTATGTCTTTTAGGACCATCTGTATAACATCAAGCTATTTTAACACAAACTTAGAACACCAAAATCAATACCAGTCATATATTGTTTTTTATAAGAAATAGGATAAATTTTATTTTTAAAAAATATAATTAAATTTCTCCTAGGGTTTTATAATCTTAAATATAACATTTAAAACATTTCAAGACCAGTGTTGGCATTTGGGCTATATTCATATTTTTAAATAGATTTGAACATAGTTCAAATTTTATATTAAATTAAAAATTATTATAATCATATATTTGTTCATATTATCTTTAATTAGTCCAAATGACAACACTATTTAAACATTATTTCTTCATCTGTATTTTTTACATGATATTATGTTTTACAGGTATTATAGGTGAAGAAACAATCTTCATATTGATTTATAATTAGAATTTCTAAACTACTCTCTTCAATATTTTTTTACAGCAATGTATAACTGATGATCGAAATAGAATTAATGAGTAATAAATAATGTATATGTGCTGAGCTTCAGCCACTGATTTGATTCAGTAAGTTGAATGCTATTACCTTTTAATGATGGATAGGACTTAACATAAGAGGGCTTATTATGATATATTTTTGATAAAATCAGAAGTTCTTTTCTTTACATTTATATTCTTGTGTATTTCAAATGAAAGTATTAAGAGAAAGAACATTTCTCCAGAACTCATTATCTTAAATCAGAGACATTATTACTAGAATTGTATTATTATTCATGCAAGTGCCAAAAGAGGTTCTATTAAAATATAATACGTCTATGCCTGAAACCTGCAAAATTTTAATCATAAAAACTCTTAAACTAGTTATATGAGATAAGAATCTACTTCTGCTTAAAATTTTTTTTAAATATTATAATTAATAATTTTTATTCAATTTGATCTAAAGGTAAGCATTTTATTATATTATATAGTGTTAATAATTTACATGCACTCATTTTTTAATTTAATTGTGTGAGACATTATTTGCACTTCATTCTTGTAATAATGAGCTCTCAATATAGTAAGAAATTTTGAATTACAGAATTTTTAAACTTGTTAGAGTGAAGTATATATAGTATTATCTGAATATAAACTATAGTGAAGATTTATTTTTTCAGCTCGATGACTTCACTATAACAAGAAAAAGTTGTATATTTTTTTACTCAAATTTCAAATTATAGGTTTGAATAGCAGCTATATAGATAACATCTTTTGAACTATTGTTTTCATTTGTTCAAAAAAGATAAATTCATAGTGTTTTTGTTCCTATATTATCAATCTGAAGTAAAAGACTTAACATTTCTAAGCTGACTAAAATAGTTTTAGAAAAAGTTAAGAATTGAGTGCATTAAAAAAGTGGGGTCCCTGAGATTAAGTAAAATAATCGTTACGATATTGTGTATTATTATGAGCTAATTTTTAGTTCTTTAAGTTTATTTAGCATTGGATGTATTGAGTTTGACTTATAACTACTTAAGAGTTAAATCCTAAAGGTTGCATAGATTAGTAATATCAAGTATTTATTGGGTTCTATCTTATTAAAACTTTTTGATTTTGTATCAGATTATGAACTTATTTTAAAGTATTTTAAATTATTTTTTTGAAACTAGTTCAGACTGAATTTTTAACATTCCTAATTATGTATTGGTTATATTACCTATAATTGACAACTCAACTTTTGATGCTAAGTTGAACTAGACAAAACTGTTCTTCTAAAAAAACAATAATATACAAAATGTTGTAATTTCAAATTTTTGTCTTTTGTTTATACAATAAGTGCTAATTACCTAATTAAGTTTTATAAATATGGGTAATAATTAACAATCAGGGTTGTTAATACTGATTTGTAATACAAAATTTATTATAAAGTAGCATATTGTTGTATATTATAGAATAATGAATATAAATGTGCAATTATTGCAGAATAAAATATATATAACAATAGTTGGTTTCAAGAGAGGGAATCATGATATATAGTCTAAATAAATACTTAACCAATTACAGAAAATAAATTTAATTTAGTTTTTTTCGTAATACTATTGCTATATTTTAAAATAAAGAGATCAATCTGATTTTTTTGAATGATCGTCTTCAATAAGGTTACTATATTAAGTGAATGTAAAAATCGCTTGTTTTAAAAAACAGATAATAATTCAAAATTGACTATGAAACCCACTTTTTGCGCTCTAATAAAAAATTTCCTGTGAAATTTTGGTATAGAACATGTCCTATTGTAATCTCTATCCCAACTTTAACATGAGGGTTTAATACTTTAAAATATTACACATACTAAAGTTTTGATTATTTGAATAGATCTAATTATACAAATATGTAAATATGTATATCAAATTCACAGATAAATAGAAATTAAAAATTTTTAACTAAAAGTCACTGGATATTACTAAAACTTCTATCCAATGAATAAAAAATCCTCATTGGAATGGTCTAGTAACATCCGATTACTGGAAGCAAATTTAGTTTCAATTTTGTCTAATTAAGTCTAGTGACTTTCCAGTTCCAGTAATTTTTACTAGAACATTCCAGTAGACATCACTGATGATATCTATAATGAAATACCAACTTAGTTATATAGTGAACCTAACTAGATAACAGTTTCTGATTTGAGATACAGATTTTGAACCATTATTAAAATACTTTAGAAGAATAAATAATACAGTATATCAAACTGGAAGATTATTAAGATATATAATCTAAATATTATCAATTTGAACGTTATATAGTAGTGAAAGGTAGATGATGTGAGAAACATAGTTTGGCTAGATATAGTAGTTTCAAGATACAGAAGTAGTATTAGATATGGATTTAATTTTTCTCATAATCAGGTGGTTTAATAGCAATAGCACTTCAGAGTAGAGATTACTTTGACTGCTAATATTAACTTAGACTAATATCAAAGCTTTAAACTTTTAATACTTTTCAACTTACATATCTGTTACTAGCAAAATATAACAACTATGATGCAAACAGCTTAGTCATATCAAATATTTTTAAATTGCAAAAACTTTTTATCTAAAAATTTAATTACAAAAAAAACTATTTATATTTCAATAGCTTTTGAAGTTTTTAAAGTTTTATTAAAGAAAATCCAAATTTTAAAAAACACAACTTTAAAAATTTCAGCACTAATATAAAAAAAATTAAAAACATATAAAAAATTTAACTAATCAAATTTAATTTTATAAGTAATGATTAGCAAAATTTTCAATACTATTAAAAAAGTTGATGTGATTAGGCCATTTGCACTATATACATATTTTTTTATTATTTTTTTTTTTGATTTTAAGGTGACCTCTTTGCTACACTACTCTTTATTTGAATATTAGTAGTATTTTTAATCTTTAGAACATTCTGAAGGCTGTACATATTTGTAAAGTACAACTAGCTATATCTGTGCCTTTTGAGTAGCTATTTAAATATTCTGCATCCATGTACCAACCCTTTTATATCCAAATGATGATACTTAGTACCACCTTGTTTTCACATGCTGGCTTAGAGCTTTAAAGTGGTCTCTATCATTTTATAGAGTCCTTTGACCTCAAGGTAAACCTGCTAAAACCTTTCATATCCACATTTAGGCTAATCTAAGCTTTGGTAACTTATGCTTAGTTTGAGAACAAGTACTTGTGAGCCAAAGCTGCTACCATTACCTACTTCTGGCCTTATAAAGTTTACTTATACCCCAGCTCTGATACTCATTTAATCTGGAACCTTTTTACTAGTTCACCAAACTCCCAATCCAGATAGCCCGGTTTGGTCCACAAGTTACATTATCTGCTTTCCTACTGGCTTAACTTAGATACTGGCCTATACCCTTTTCCTTCAGTTGATTCCAGCGGCTTGGTTAATATAGTACTCGCCAAACACCCGGTCTTTGTCCAGATCCGCAGCTTCCGGTTTCCTTCTTAGACTTTCTAGAACCATCAAAAGTATGTGCTATCTCTCTACTTAAGACTTGCCAAGCGGGTTCCTATTCAGGACTAGTCTACCAGATTTATACAGATCACAGAGACTTATCGTGGGTTTACATCATCTTTTTATCAGTTTGTATCTCTTTGTATAACTTCTTTATTATACGAATACCCATGATCTTTCAAGTCTGTACTATCATCCTCAATAAGGCTTATGAGATAAGCTGTCCGTTAGACAATCATTACCTCTTGCACCTATTTGGTCTGACCGTTATTATAGGATCTACATCCCAACATCCAAATAGTTACCAATATACAGAAGAATTTGATTTTTTGTTGTTGG